GTTCACGTAATCACCTTCTACAAACAAAGCCAATAGGGAAACCCATTTTGCTTAACAACCCTACTGCTGAAGTAGCAAAAGTGATGATTCACTTACAGCAGGGGTGTCAAACTTGATTTCATTGAGGGCTACATCACGGTTCTGTTTGACCTTGGGGGACCAGGGTGGGTGTGGCCTTGGTAGGCGTGGCCAGCTGGACGTCACTCCTGTCGGGAGTGCCTGTGGCGTCCCGAGCACTCTGCCAATGAAAACTGGCTACTGAGCTCCGTTTTAGGTTGTGACAACTTCCTGCCGCCCTCTGTCAGCTCAGGGGGTGGGGGGACATCTTTTCGTTAGCAGAGACACCGTGGGCCGGTCCTTCATTGTTTTCAGGGCAGCCCAGATCTAAGTACCCTGGGGGCTGAATCTCACCTGCGGGCTTTTGAGTTTGACACCCCTGATTTACAGGAACTACTGTGGCAAGAAAAATCGTAAAACGGTGCAAAACTCATTTAACAAATGGCTCACTTGGCAACAGAAATGTTGGGTTCAATTGTGGTCATAAATCGAGGACTACCTCTATAATGTTTTGAGGAACATCCTAGTTATGCCAGTTGCTCCCCCCGTGCTACCTGCCTAATTGAATTACATTTCTTAATGCGCCTGCACGAAGGACATGTAGCACATCTGCAGCTGAACCGAGTTAAAGGGAGCTTGTCCATCCCTGAATGCCAAGTTCATCTTGTGGTTATTTATTACCATTTAATATATGATGAGAACATGATGGAAGAGAAGTAAACATATATACACCATCCATGTAGAGAGTAAAATCTCTATGGGAGTAAAGCAGTAGCTTCCTAACAGGATGTTCTTGTGGCCCGCCAGGTGGCAGCAGATTCCGACAGTGAGGAGGTTGGGTAGGAAGATGGGCCAGCCCTGGGGTCTGGGGAAGGCTCTGATGAGGGCTCTGTGTCAGAGGCAGAGATGTGGCCATGCCATCTGACAGTTATCAGCTGCCTTTGGAGTCAGACATAAATGAGGCAGAAGAACAACTGGAGCCTGTTCCCAGTGTGCGCATGCATAGAATTGCCAGACAAAGGGAACAGCTAAGGAACAAGGGTCGACTTGGGAGTAAGGCCACAGGTGGATGGTGAATGGCCCCTCCCATAGGGAATAAAAGAGCAGCGAAAGGGGAGGGGAGTTTGCAGGAGACAATTAGTTCATTCCTGCATTCTTGCCAATTATTGGGGCGTCTGAAAGATATCGGCCTGGCCACTTCAAGCCTGATAAAAGGCGGTAATTGTGAACAATCTTGAAAAACTGTGGGAGGGGAAAGACTTTGCTGGAGAGGAATTCATTGTAAATTAAATAAAAGAGGCTTATTGGGACAAGGACTCGGCTTCACGCTGAAAAGCCTCGTTCAGAACAGATGCACAATTCAGCTCTTCAGGCGATTGCCTCTGGTTTCATGCAGATCTTCTAGGGAAACAGAGAACACACGTTATGATGCGATACATATTTACTAACCATCTTGCGGTTTCTACCTTTCCCATCTGCAGACCTCAGTGTTTGGTCCTGTCAGGTCCTCCCAATTTCCGACCAGACCTGGTGGATTTTGTTGGCGCCTTCACTAAAAATGTCAGCCTCATGATATGCGGAAACGTGACCGAGGTTTGTGAATCTTATTGGGGGATCAGCTCTTTGGGGGGTGGGGTGTCTAGGACAACTCATTGCGGCCCATCTTGCCAGTGCCAACTTGCTGCGGGACAATTTGCCACAGGACAATTCCACGTGGGGTAACTCAAACACGATAAATGTTATCTGCCATTGTTTCTTCTACATTATTTTCATGTTTGTCCAATTCCACAAAATAATGTCATAGAAATAATAGTGGGTAACATTGAGTTATCCCACTTATAATTTTCCTACGGCAATTTGGCCATGGCAAGTTGGCAGCAGCCGGGGGGCAAGAATAAATTGGTTGGGCGAGGTCTGCTGCCCCTTTTAAGCCCAAACCCTCTGGTATTTTTACCATCACCCACAGGATTCCTCCTGCTTTGAGGATTACGATGAGCAACTCCAGTGGCTCGGCGAGCGGAAAATCCAAGCATTCTACAACTTCATCACCATCGGAGACTTACGTTCAGGAGCTAGAACCCTTATGCAGGTATCACATTTGTAAAGTTGACTGAGGTTTGGGGAGTGAAGCAGTGGTGGGTTCCAGCCAGTATGCCCTGGAATGGCAGTACCGGCGGTAGCTGGGAGCAGCAGCCACCGTACCAGAATGGTGCTTTGGAGGGCTCACCCATCTGCCCTTGTTCCTTACCTCTATTTGAGCTAACCGGGCCATTTGCGCATTGAAACGGAGAGAATAACTCTCAGTTTTGTTCTGGTGGTGCTTACTCAGTCAAAGATGATGGGTTTGGCCAAACAAGGACGATAGCAACAGTAAAGAATATTTGTAGCTCATGGTTGAATTATTGGGGTTCTTGGTGCTTTCACAGCTGGGTGTTTTTTTTGTTGATGATTCATTACCAAACTAGGTGATGTACTGATGATGTTACCTTATTTGGTAATGAAACGTCTGCAAGAAAACCACCCAGTTTGGAGAGCACCAAGGACCACGAAGAGGATAGCACAGATTCCAAGCTACTCTGTAATATTGGTGTTCTGTATCAGCCGCTTTAAGACTGCTTGGAAATCTCCCCTTGGTGGCCTGGAGATCCGATTCTGTTAGCCAAGATAATGAGGACAAAATCTTCTATATTTCTTTGGAAAGGGGTTGTAGCTTAGTGGTAGAGAACCAACATTAAAAAGTGGGTATACCCTTTACAATTTCTATAACATGCCTGATTCCAAACACACTGAAGTGATTAAAAACAATAATATAATAAAAGCAATCACAGGACATTGCAACCATCATAAACATGAATTTTTGATGAATTTTGATCACATGGCCATGGGGATGCTGCAACGGTCATAAGTATAAAAATTGGTCATAAGTCACGTTTTTCAGTGCTGTTGCAACTTCAGTCACTAAATGAATGGTTGTGAGTTGAGGATTACCTATAATTCTCTAAATAATCTTTACACTTATGGTAATTGATTGATTTATTATATTTATATAGCCTTATCACTGAATATGTTGACAATTAGAACAAGTTGAAAGTAAATTTTTGGCTCAAGTTAAGTTCTAAGTCCACCTGGATGGATAGATGGATGGAATGGATGGAATGGACGGACGGACGGACGGACCAACTGATAGGCCAACAGACATGGTTATCAAGACACGGTGGCTCAGTAATTAAGACACTGAGCTTGCTGATCAGAAAAGTTGGCAGTTCAGTGGTTTGAGTCCCTAGTGCCGCATAACGGAGTGAGCTCCCGTTACTTGTCCCAGGTTCTGCCACCCTAGCAGTTCGAAAGCATGTAAAAGTGCAAGTAGAAAATATAGGGACCACCTTTGGTGGGAAGGTAACAGTATTCCTTGTGCCTTTGGTGTTTAGTCATACTGGCCACATGACCACGGAGGCATTTTTGGACAGCGCTGGCTCTTCAGTTTTGAAACGCACCACCCCCTGGAGTCAGGAACGACTAGTATATATGTGCGAAGAGAACCTTTACCTTTAGCATTTAAAACATTACAAGGCACACATACCCCTAGGCTGAAATTTTGAGTATGCTGGATTAACCTAACCATGATGATTTCTAGGTATTAGTTTATGGTCAATTTATATAAACCAGGCCACGATGATTTCTAGGTATTAGTTTATGGTCAATTTATATAAACCAGGCCACCATAATTGTTCAACAGACTGTGGTTAAAATAAACCATGTTTAGCACAGTATGTAAATGTGGACAGGATAAAAAAAATTCACCATACTTTCTCCTTGCAGGTCTCAGGTCTAGGACGTCTAAAGCCCAACACCATAGTTCTCGGTTATAAAAGTGATTGGCAGACCGACTCTCCCCAAAACCTGGAGAATTATGTGGGCATAATACAGTAAGGACATCATGTTCTCAAGAAGAATAAATGGGAAAAGGGGTGGGGTTAGGAATGAAGAAAAAAGGGAATGGATAGAGATACAGCGAGTTTATGAAAGGATGGGTTTGGATCTCTCCTAAGGTAGAGAGTTTGTAGAAGAATCTTTGCCCTTTACACTTTATATATTCTTTTAGTATGTAAAATCAGTTCCAGAGGATTATCAATGAAAGCCATACAAATATATTGTTTTTTGAGTTTGATAAGCCAGGTGTCACTTAATATCAAGAAAACGTTTGGCATTTGGAGAGAATTAGATGAAAGATATTCCATGTTGTTGTTGTTGTTGTTGTTGTTGTTGTTGTTGTTGTTAGTGACCCCATAGACAATGTTCCTCCATGCCTTCCTGTCCTCTACCATCCTCTGGAGTCCATTTAAGTTCAGGCCTACTGCTTCGGTGACTCCATCTAGCAACCTCATTCTCTGTCGTCCCATTCTTCTTTCGCCCTCAATTTTTCCCAGCATTAAGCTCTTCTCCAGTGAGTCCTTCCTTCTCATTAGGTGGCCAAAGTATTTGAATTTCTTCAGGATCTGGTCTTCTAAAGAGCAGTCAGGGTTGATCTCCTCTAGGACTGACCGGTTGGATCGTCTTGCAGTCCAAGGGACTCGCAGGAGTCTTCTCCAGCATCATAGTTCAAAGGCCTCCATTCTTTGGCGCTCAGCCTTCCTTATGGTCCAACTTTCACAGCCATAGATTGCAACTGGGAAAACCATAGCCTCCACTATATGCACTTTTGTTAGCATTTTGATGTCTCTGCCTTTTTTTAGGATGCTGTCTAGATTTGCCATAGTTTTCCTCCCCAGTAGCAAGCGTCTTTTAATTTCTTGGCTGCAATCCCCATCTGCGATGATCTTGGAGCCCAGGAAAATAAAATCTGTCACTACCTCCATTTCTTCCCCATCTCTTTCCCAGGAATTGAGAGGATATTCCACAGCTGTTCATTTGGTGTAGAGGTTAAGTCACCAGGCTAGAAAGCAGGAGATTGTGAGTTCAAGTCCTGCCTTGTCAATGAAAACCCAGTCCTTCTCTCTCAGCCCAACCCACCGCATAGGGTTGTTATGGGGAAAATTGGAGGACAAAAGGATAGGTTCGTGGCCTTGAGTTATCTGTGAAGATTAATAAAAGAGGGATACAAACACATATTTGGGCAAACTCCAAGAGACAGTGGAAGCCAGGTTAGCCTGGTGTCCATGAGGTTGCAAGGAGTTAAACACAGTGAATGGAAAAACTACAAATAATACATAAATAAACACCCTCTTTTCCCGAAAATAAGACCTCCCCAGATAATAAGCCCAGTCGGGCTTTTGAGCACATGCACTAAAATAAGCCCTCCCCGAAAATATTGCAACCCAGCAGGAGCCATGAGGTGATCATACTCACTGCCTCCTGAACCTCAAAATTAATAACATCTCCCTGAAAATAAGGCCAATTATGCTTATTTGAGCATAATTGCCAAGGTGGTGCAGTGGTTAAATGCAGCACTGCAGGCTACTGCTAGATCAGCAGTTCAGCGGTTCAAATCTCACCGGCTCAGGGTTNAATTATTGGGGCGTCTGAAAGATATCGGCCTGGCCACTTCAAGCCTGATAAAAGGCGGTAATTGTGAACAATCTTGAAAAACTGTGGGAGGGGAAAGACTTTGCTGGAGAGGAATTCATTGTAAATTAAATAAAAGAGGCTTATTGGGACAAGGACTCGGCTTCACGCTGAAAAGCCTCGTTCAGAACAGATGCACAATTCAGCTCTTCAGGCGATTGCCTCTGGTTTCATGCAGATCTTCTAGGGAAACAGAGAACACACGTTATGATGCGATACATATTTACTAACCATCTTGCGGTTTCTACCTTTCCCATCTGCAGACCTCAGTGTTTGGTCCTGTCAGGTCCTCCCAATTTCCGACCAGACCTGGTGGATTTTGTTGGCGCCTTCACTAAAAATGTCAGCCTCATGATATGCGGAAACGTGACCGAGGTTTGTGAATCTTATTGGGGGATCAGCTCTTTGGGGGGTGGGGTGTCTAGGACAACTCATTGCGGCCCATCTTGCCAGTGCCAACTTGCTGCGGGACAATTTGCCACAGGACAATTCCACGTGGGGTAACTCAAACACGATAAATGTTATCTGCCATTGTTTCTTCTACATTATTTTCATGTTTGTCCAATTCCACAAAATAATGTCATAGAAATAATAGTGGGTAACATTGAGTTATCCCACTTATAATTTTCCTACGGCAATTTGGCCATGGCAAGTTGGCAGCAGCCGGGGGGCAAGAATAAATTGGTTGGGCGAGGTCTGCTGCCCCTTTTAAGCCCAAACCCTCTGGTATTTTTACCATCACCCACAGGATTCCTCCTGCTTTGAGGATTACGATGAGCAACTCCAGTGGCTCGGCGAGCGGAAAATCCAAGCATTCTACAACTTCATCACCATCGGAGACTTACGTTCAGGAGCTAGAACCCTTATGCAGGTATCACATTTGTAAAGTTGACTGAGGTTTGGGGAGTGAAGCAGTGGTGGGTTCCAGCCAGTATGCCCTGGAATGGCAGTACCGGCGGTAGCTGGGAGCAGCAGCCACCGTACCAGAATGGTGCTTTGGAGGGCTCACCCATCTGCCCTTGTTCCTTACCTCTATTTGAGCTAACCGGGCCATTTGCGCATTGAAACGGAG